AGGGCTGATTCAGATAGACCACTTACATCCTATAATCCTGTAACATTGAAGGTGCAAATTTTGTCTGAGCTGTGAGTGCTTCAGGTTCAAGTTAATATAATTTTCAGTATTATCAATATCATTTTCTGTCCTCCATTTAGTATGCAAAAAAAATGCAGAAACCCCAAAAAAACAATGTGACCACAGTAGAAAATGTTTTATTCAGATTTTTATTTTGCAATTCTAATCAATATCTCAGCGATATATTGATATATGTGGTTAATTCCAATTAATTTGATGGACATATCATGAAAATAATTTGGTTACATTAAAAGATCAACACGATCGAAACTTTGCTGAAAAACCTGTTGCATATCATCAGGCTTTTGAGGAGCGTTTATTTTATTGGATTGCATTGCATTTTATGTTTTGATCATTTAAATATCATCTTACTAAGACATATTAATGTTATAAAGATCTCATTGATTTACATTACAAGCATCAGAATTTCATCAAATAAATATCAGCATCTGCACCAAATTGCATATTTTTGCTCAGTTTGTGTCTTTGAATAAAGCTGAGCTGCTTTCTCTTCTTCACGTATGAGCTCTATATTCTCAGTATATGGTACTATATGAACCATAAAAGCCCGACGTATCAAAATCAATGAAAAAACAGATTTTAAAAACTGTTCCAGTCCAGTAAAAATGATTTGGACAGGGTTGATTGGTTAACAGACCTACTTTTAAAGGGGTCATGAATTGAGAAATTCATATCTTTTGACATATAAAAACATTCTTGTAAGTTTCAGAACTCACAACTTTCCCGTTAGTCTAAAAACAGCTGATATTGAAGCCAATCTGCTTCTCGACTCGTTTTGGAATGTGTCACATTATACGTCATAGTGTGACGAAAGCCCGCCCCTGCAGAAGAAGATCGAAGCCTCTTTAACAGTGGAGAAACCTTCCTTCTGATCCTAACATTAGGAAAGAGTGGATGAAGTTCCAGATCACGTCAGTAACAACCTGGTGGTTTCGTTTCATTTTTCTGTGGATTAGTTTTTAAACAAGACACAATTCCACACGGGATTTTCAGAGAGATTGAAACTAAAAGACGATGCTGTGCTGACTATATTGAATCCGGTAGTAATGTCGCAAACACAAGTGTGAGTTACAATGTTTTAATCATTTATCACTATTACTTTTTTACACTAAGCCCTTTTTTTTGTGAGTGTGCGAGATTTCCGGTTCATTAGCCGCTGTAGGGAAATAACGAGAAGAATAACAAAGTGCAGTAAATGGTAAAACTGTTTGCTCTACAAACAAGTGTGTTCGTAATTAAGATAATACATTCAAATAATATGGTAAGACATAACAGTTTGCAATGTCAAGCAGCAAAACGAATGACACCGGAAGCCATATTAAATGTACAAATTTAATATGGCAAATTTAATTTAATATAGCGTCCGCTCTTATGGGAATACGTAAGTCGATACGTTTTTAACCTAAATCACTACAGTGCCCATCTATGTAGGCTGTCAAACAGACCTGCAGAATTTGACATTGTTTCATGTAAACAAAGTACTCATGATAACTGTGTAATTTATCCTTTGTCAGCTATAACTGTAACTCCAAGTATCTAAACTTTATTTGCCACATCAATGAAATATGAAACGTTGTTAACAACATAGCAGCATAAACAGCTTTCTGTAGCATCTTGAGTTAAACACCAATATATAATAGGCTAACTACCTCACAAATACATAAAGAATAAATAGAAATACAGATGATTAATTAGCAGGCTGTCGCAGGCTATAGTATCTTTGGCATTTGAGATTTTCTGATTCGGGATCAGACTCTGGCTCAAACATGTATTATTGAATTTCACTGGCTGCCATTTCTCAACATTTTCAAAACAGTTCCCCATGTGTGATAATGATGGGCGTGTTAAAATATATGCAAAACTGTTAGCCAATCGTAGCAGTGGGCATTTACTTCTGAGTCTAGAATGAGCCACGCCCATCCAAACGGAACGTTCAGACGAATGGAACGTTCTAAATTATGTATTTTTATGCAAAACTCTTGTTAACATTATAAGTGGACGTCAGAGAACATTATACAAAAAAAATTAAAGGGGTCATGAACTGCCTTTATTTTTTTATTATTATTTTGGACTGTTTACTGAGGTCCACTTATAATATTATTAAGATTTTTACATCAAAAAGCATCATAATTTAGAAGTAATAAGTTATTTTGTGTCCAGTTTTTGACCCACTCTGTTTGAATAGGCGTGGAGGATTGTAGACTCGGAAGTTAACGCCCACTGCTGTGATTGGCTAATAGTTGTGTATGTTTGACAGCCTACATTCCTCATAGATGGGATGCTGCTGTGATTTAGGTCAAAAACGCATAAATAACTCATTACAATCAAACCAAACCATCTGTAAGAAGAGACAAAGCAATAGTGATCACGTAATTAAAAACAGTTACTCGCGCTTGTGTTGCGACAGTACTGTCGGATCCAATATAGTCGCACAGCATCGACTTTTAGTTTCAATCTTTTTGAAGATCCTACGTCGAATTGTGCCTTGTTTCTAAACGAATCCACGGTAAAATGAAGTAAAAAAATAAAAAAATAAAATAAAGTTAATTAAAAATAAAGTTTATTCATTCTATCCTAACGTTGGGATCAGAAGGAAGGCAACGCAAATATTGTTTTTCCACAGCTTGGCACTGCACAGTGTCTTGTTGTCTTTGGAGTCATCTTCATCGTTTGGTTTCTGCATAGACCTGCGCATTCGCCTCTCTCGTAAACACTACATGTACGAATCGGTGGGCGGGGCTAAACAGGCAGTGATGTAGAATTGGTGGGCGGGGCTAAACAGGCAGTGATGTCGAACCGGTGGGTGGGGCTAAACAGGCCATCATAACGAATCGGTATTCGCGGCAAAACTGCACTGATGTCAAATCGGTGGGCGGGGCTAAACAGGCATTGATGTCGAATCGGTAGGTGGGGCTAAACAGGCAACGATGTAGAAAAACAGGCAGTGATGTCGAATTGGTGGGTGGGGCTAAACAGGCAACGATGTAGAAAAACAGGCAGTGATGTCGAATCGGTAGGCGAGGCTAAACAATCAACGATGTAGAAAAACAGGCAGTGATGTCGAATTGATGGGCGGTGCTAAACAGGCAACAATGTAGAATCGGTGGGCGGGGCAAAACAGGCAGTGATGCTGAATGGTAGGCAGGGCTAAACTGGCAACGATGTCGAATCATGGGTGGGGCTAAACAGGCAGTGATGCTGAATCGGTGGGCGGGGCTAAACTGGCAACGATGTAGAATCAGTAGGCGGGGCTAAACAGGCAATGATGTAGAAAAACAGGCAGTGATGTAGAATCGGTGGGCGGGGCTAAACTGGCAACGATGTTGAATCATAGGCGGGGCTAAACAGGCAGTGATGTTGAATCGGTAGGCGGGGCTAAACTGGCAACGATGTCGAATCGGTAGGCGGGGCTAAACAGGCAGTGATGTCGAATCGGTGGGCGGGGCTAAACAGGCAGTGATGTCGAATCGGTGGGCGGGGCTAAACAGGCAGTGATGTAGAAGCAGTCGTTGATCATCTTCTGTGGAGGTGGTGATTATCCACACTATTACATCATAGAGTAGAACATTCCACAAGCTGTCGTTGTGACAGACTGCCTTCAATATCAGCTGTTTTTAGAGTAACAACAAAGTTTTGAGTTCTGAAACTCACAGGATGGTTTTATAGAACAATGACCTCTTATATGTCAAAAGATCAAGGGAATTTTGGTTTCTCAGTTCATGACACATTTAATTAGCATGCTTTCTGGAATATTCTCACAATTCTGATTTGTTTGGCAGGAGTGGAGGAAGTGTGATGTTGTCGGTCTGTGCGGTCACACAGCATCAGTACTGAGACACATGTGCTGAAGTCTGTTCACACACACACACATACATATGAGATCAGATCAGCTCACTGATGGGGGTCTACAGTGAGCCAGAGGGGGAAAATAAATGCGATTGTCACTGTGTCTTTTCCTCCTGCACTATAATTCCCGCCAGCAGACAAATAATTGATGGTTTAGAGCCGGGAAAAAGAGGGAAAGACTGCAATTTCCAATTCTATTCCATTTGCTCAGTCTTTCTCTCTCTCTCTCTGCTCTGTGTTTCAGCCTCCATCCAGCTGTGGAGGTCACGTCTGAGCAGGGTGATGTACTCCATGGCCAACTGTCTGCTAATGATGAAGGTACGTGAGTGGAAGAGCTAGCAAACATATACTCACTCGCACTTTCATATCTGACCTGAATCATATCCGTGCACATGCACAGACTCTAGGGTTAGAGATTACAGGCTTTCCTTCAAGCAGGTGCCTACTGAGAAAATAGCTTTTCTTGATTACTGTTCTACTGGTAAAATAGTGTGTATGCACACATAGCCTTCTATATCTTTATAGTATACCAGACTGTCAGTAGCTAAAGAAATACCTGTTTTTTGCAAGTTATCATGTTCAACAAGTGCTATCTGCTGGCCAAAGACTGTAGTGACACACATTGGTTAGCAGACTCACACCGAAGAAACTCACAAACGTGAATCCTCTGTAAGTGGAAAGCCAGTGAACGCTGTCTTTGCTCAGCAGAGTTGCTTGTTTCTGAAGAGGATCAGAGTCCGCTTCGCTCATCATGTTTTATCTCCACACAGACGATAATTAAGGTTCTGTTTGTTCTTATGATTAGATTGGAGACATCAGAACCGCTGAGAAGTATTTTCAGGATGTGGAGAAAGCCTGTCAATCAAAGGGAGAAACACCTAATGAAGACACCTCAGTGCTGATGAACAGGTGAACGCTGATTTCTGCTCTGTCAAGTCATTTAATGCAATCTGTTTACACTGCAGCCCGTCAAAAGCTGGAATATATATATAATACTTTTTATGTTTTTGAAAGACGTGTCTCTTCTGCTCATCGAGGCTGCATTTGATACAAAAATACAGTAAAAACAGTAATATTGTGAAATAATTTTACATTTTAATATACCTGTTTTCTATGTTAATATATTGTAAATTATAATTTATTTCTGTGATGCGCAGCTGTATTTTCAGCATCATTCCTCCAGTCTTCAGTGTCACATGATCTTCAGAAATCAGTATAATATGCTGCTTTACTGCTCAGTTATTATCAGTTGATATTTCTGTTCAATTGTTAATAATGGTTCTTCTTCTTATTAATATTTAAAACATTGGGTTTTTTTCAACCTAACATTTTTGTGGAAATCATGTTACTTTTTCAGGATTCAATGAACAATATTTACTTAAATATAAGAATTTTAAATAAATATTTTAAATGATTCCACTTAAATGTTTTTATATTAATAAATTAATATTAAAATGTATTTCCTGTCACTTTTGATCAATTGAATGTGCTCTCGTTGAATAAAAGTTTGTATTTATTTTTATTTTGTAGGTATTGTGCATCTTGGTTTATTAACATCAAAAATATTGTGCAGCACGACTAATAATCAGAAATGTTTCTTGAGCAGCAAATCAGCATATTATACTGATTTCTGAAGATCATGTGACACTGAAGACTGGAGTAATGATACTGGAAATACAGCTGTGCATCACAGAAATCAATTACTATAAAACTGTATTTTTGGTCAAATAAATGCATCCTTAACGAGTCTTCTTTCAGAAACGTTTGTTCATCTGTAGTATATGTGCTTCTGTGGTTCTCCTGAAGCTGAATGTGATGTCGTCCACAGGGCTTTTGTTTATCTGAGTCAGAATAACTATGCAGACGCGCACACGTGTTTCTCCAGCGTCTTGAAACTTGATCCCAAGAACCCAGTGGTAAGTTGAACACGTGACCGAGTGATGCACCTCCAGACAAACAGCACTGGATAACCTGCCGGCGATAACAACGCCAACTTTGTTCTTCAGGCAAGCAACAATTCAGCCGTGTGTCTGCTGTATTTGGGAAGGCTGAAGGAGTCCCTGGGCCAGCTGGAGAGCCTGGTGCACAAGGACCCGGAGCTCTACCTGCACGAGAGCGTGCTGTTCAACCTCACCACCATGTACGAGCTGGAGTCCTCGCGCAGCACGCAGAAGAAACAAGCTCTGCTGGAGGCCACCGCCTGTAGAGAGGGAGACAGCTTCAACGTCCAGTGCCTCAAGCTAGTATGAGACGCCACCATCCAACACGCTGGACGCTACCGGATGATTACGCGTGAAAATACTGTTCCGCATTTGGAGCTTTTACAAGTTCACGTATGTTGTGCTTACCATGTACAGACAGGACCAAAGTTAACTTGACAACTCAATGATATTTGCTCTGCACCGTTTCGGGAATCAAGAGAAATGCTTTTTAATGCATTAAATGATTGTTTTCAAAGAGTCTAAGCTAATTATAACTGTACTGTGTATTTCTGACGATGAGAAAAGGAAATCTTGTTAATAAATGTGTGAAAACCTGACCTGGTGTTGAGATGTGGTTTATTAATGCGGCATATATTTAGGAGAACTATGTTGTTTTTGTTCTCTTTTGCCAATTATTTGATTTCAAAATGGCATTTTCCTGCCATTATATAATTTTTTTAAAAAGCTACTTTTTTTGAACTCCTCCTAGATTGTTCGTTCGATTCACATGAAACTTGGCACACATTATCCCAAGACCATCATGACTAAAAGCTGAGAAGAGAAAACTGATTTATCAAAGTGTTTTAAAGATATAATCCAATCAAAATCTGGCATCGCCCATTTTGACTAATAAACCTATATCTGCTCAACGCAATGTTTAAACTTAGCGAAACTTGATACGCATACACAAGAAGTCATTCCGAGGACTCGCACCAATTTGTGTCAAAATCTGCCCTTACGGGGCACGGCAACTCCTCAACAGTTTGATCAAGGTCAATTCAATTGAATGCATTTCTTCTTCAGTACTAATCAAGCCATGAAAAATAAATCATACAAAACAACAAAAATGGCAGCCAGCAGCTAATAAGATGCATTTTGGATGACTGATCGCAATAAAATTTAGCAGAATGTACGAGGCTGTATACTATATTTGGTGAGAACCACCATTATAATAATCTAATTTACATTTTTTTCTAACAACTGGAATATAGTATATACTGTATGTATATAATATATACTGTGAATGCTGGAATATTTTCTGAATTATTCAGTGCCCCCATATCACATTTTCATATGTGCCATATCTTTTTCTGTACTTTTATATATATATATATATATATATATATATATATATAATTAAGGTTTTTTCATTGTGCTGTTTGCACAAAATGTCCAAAACTTCACAAAACATGGCACACAACTATGATGCAGAGAAAATATTGCTTTATTTAATCAATGAACAAAGAAATCTGTGAAATGCTTTTAGATCATCAAATTAGGAGTCAGTCTCTTTTAAGCTAATTAATAGCAAAATATTTCTATATAAAGACATGCTTATTTACTGTTGTGGTATGAGTAGTAAAACAAACACTTATATGCTAAACTATAAGCATATTAGTGATCATACAGACAAACACATTTTCATTTAATCAGACCGTTTACTTACTTTTTCTAACATGTCTTCATTAATATGAGTTTTTCAGTGTTGCTGCATTGCAGTATTACTTTATTATAATCAGTACAAATATATAATGCAAATTAGTTTTATTCATGAAAACTGAACAGTTTGTAGTGGTTCCCTACATCTTTTAATAGAAAGTAATGAATTAATGCTGAGTCCATTAAACAACCACCATCCACACGGCCCTCCAGGACTACAATGCATTGTCATAACTATCAAAATACTCATGTGTTTATCATTAGTAATGATTTATTAGATCTAGTACTCATGATTGTAACCTGTGTCAAGAGGGTTTGTTAAAGGCACTGCAGAGTTTGATCTGATGAAGAGCACATTAGCAATCAGGTGATTCAGCAGCACTAAACCAATCCCATCACGCGTCTCAAGAGCACCTCAGGGAGTTCACATAGGCTTTACGGATGTCAGAGTCATCAGCTGGGCGGTTATAGGCCTTCCAGACCGGTTCACCGACAAACAGACGCATGACTTTAGTGTAGTTCTGAAGAAAAAAAAAAGCAAAACACTGTTTTAGTTAAAGGAATGGTTGATTCAAGAATGAAAGTTTGCTAACATGTCCTCACCCTCGGGTCATTCAATTTGTAGACGAGTTTGTTTCTTCATCAGATTTGGAGAAATGTAGCATTGCATCAGTGTCTCAGCAATGGATGCTCTGCAGTGAATGGGTGCCGTCAGAATGAGAGTCCAAACAGCTGATAAAAACATCACAATAATCTACAAGTAATCCACAGCACTCCAGTCCATCAGTTAATGTCTTGAGAAGACAAAAGCTGAAACAAATCCATCATTACGCGATTTTTTAACTTCAAATCGTTGCTAAAATATGAATCCATAATCAATCATTAATAACGCTTCCTCCAGTGAAAAGTCCATCTCCTGTTGTCTCTCACGTCAAAATCCAGCCACATATGTGTTTAGAGCCGTTTTGTTTTGGCTTGTAAACAGTGCTTGATCTGTGCAGATTTCTCTCCTGATTCAGACCAGAACACTTTTTCACAGGAGGAAAAGTTATTATGGATCTTACGTTATTATGTTTCTTTTCTTACAAACATGCAGCTTTTCACTTCACAAGATGTTAATTGATGGCCTCTCATTCTGACAGCACCCATTCACTGCACCGCATCCATTGATGAGAAGTGATGCAATGCTACATTTCTCCAAATCTGATGAAGAAACAAACTCATCTACAAATTGAATGACCTGAGGGTGAAGACATTTTTAGCAAATTTTCATTTTTGGGGGAACTATTCCTATAAGTGAGTGAGTGAAGTGACGTGTAAGCAAGTATGGTGTCCCATACCCGGAATCTGTGCTCTGCATTTAACCCATCCAAGTGAACGTGAACACACACACACACACACACACAGTAGTGAACACACACACACACACACACACCTGGAGCAGCAGTGGGACGCCCGGGGAAAAGCGTCTACTAAATGATTGGATGGAAATGCTTTAGTTCAGTGAACTCTGAGACACATACGCTTTCATCAACGGTGAATCTGTGGTAAATTCCCGCCGGCAGTGTGATAAGATCCCCTTTAGACACAGCTATTCGGATCCAGCGGTCATCTTTGTCCCTCACGTCAAAGTAAGACGATCCGTCCAGTGTATAACGGATCTCATCGTCAAGATGAAGATGCTCCTCATAGAACATTTTCACCTGGAAAGCATGAATTTGAGATTTACAGATGGATTTCATTACAAAAATAAGCGTAATATATACTGATAAATGATTTTTATTTCATACAAATTAAATCAGGTTAATATGCATAACCTACTTTGTTCTCATAATCAGGAAGTTTATCTGGGTGAATCGTTATGATATCCATATAGGAAAAGCCCTTTTCTTCACGGATCTTCTGCAGTTCTGGGTCATTTTCATAAATATCAGCATTTAACTAAAAACAGAGAGAACAAAATCCAAACCTTTGAAAACTGACAAGCAGTCATATTTTAGTGCCACTAAAACACTATTCATTTTTGTTAATATTTTGAATTAGGTTTTATTTTGACATGTTATATTTTCACTTTCTAGTACGTTTTAATAGTTTTGTTGTGTTTTTGTGACTTTTCATTTTTTAAGTACATCTACATAGAATTTAATTTTTATTATAAAAAGATATTTACATTTTTACTTTTTTTTTAATAATATTCTAAATAATTTATTTTATTTCAAGTGAATAAGGAATAACTGTTATCAGGGCATAATTGCATTGTTCATCATAACTGTCTGAATGCCATCTAATATGTTTACACTAATAACTATGTTTACCACGACAACCATTAAAAAAAATCATGTTTTTGTAAAGGTGGATCATGACAGTTATTGTTGAAGTTTAGTCAGATATGTTGTTGTACTGCAACATGCATAGAAAGTGGATCAATATTTGTTTTAGATGACTCTATGTTTGCATATTTGACTCTGTTAGCATGCATACACAGCAAGCATAACGCTCGTGTCACGTGCTGCGTGTGCAATATTAATGTGTGTGTGATTTCTGCTCGAACCTTCCAGTAATCAACTCCGATCTGCTCGAGCTGTCTGAGAGTCACGGGCTGGTTCGGCTTCAGTCTGTGAGGCAGCTTCTGGTCCTCGCTGGACTCATCCTCGTACCATGCCTCTATCCCACTCATCATTATTATACGCACACCGTCGTCTTCTTCTTCTTCTTTCAGTTTAATGGCGGATTGCAATAATAACTTGTCAGGTGCATACCGCCACCTACTGTACCGAGGTATGCAGCATGGATTATTAGTTTTATATATGAAATAGATTTATATATAATATAAATGATGTGAATATAAATATATACATGTAAATATTTTCAAAATATATACTGTATGTGTGTATCTTTATATATGCATAGTGAATATACACAGTACTAGTGCTGCCAATTTATTAAAAGTTTAACAAGTATTACATGTTTAGGGCCCTATGACATGTTTTATTTTTCCAACCTTTTGTTTTATTGTAACCAAATTCTGTTTTAGCATGTCTAATTATTTGAAAGCATAAAACAAGTTTCATTTATTCTTACAATAGCCTTATGATTTTTTGCTCAGAAATTCTGTGTTGTGTATTTAAACAAAATTTTTAAGGCATAAAAAAATTCATTTAATCTATCTTTTAAGTAATGAAAATTAAACACATTTTATTTTTTGGAAAAGAAAGGTAATTTAATATTACAATTAAAACATTGACGAAATATTGTATGCTTATTCCTTAAAAAATAAGGTTGTGGAGATGTTGTTCATGTATTATGTCCTCATTAGTGAGACGGCAGACGAGCGTTTCAGTACGAGTACTACACAAAACCAAACCACGCGTCTGCGCCATTCATTGACACAGAGATACACAGAATTAAAATTTAAATATGAATCGTTTTGTGGCTTAATATTTACAAATACTAGTGGGAGTGGGCTCACTTGTGTGTGTGTGTGTGTGTGTGCCACCCCCCTAATATAATGGCAGGGGAAACACTAATAATAATAATAATAATAATAATTTTGTGTATTTTTTATCTTTTCATTTCAAATTAAATAATCGCTAACCAGAGTACCAGATTCCTGCTGGGACTCTGGAAAATCCCAGTAAGTTAGTAATTAAATATTTTGAACGTTAAAAGAGTAATTAATCGCATTTGTTTGTTTGCTTAACGCCCATGCGCTTCTATGGAAATCCAGTACACTTAGTTAAAAAATGTTCAATTTCGTTGTCGATGAAGGTGTACCTGTTATTATGCACTCTACTGCAAAGTTTAATAACTTGTCTGCAACAGTGAATGTCTGCAGCTGGATATTATTGGTTATACCAGTGGTTCCCAACACTGGTCCTTGAGGCACCCCAACACCGCACGTTTTGCATGTCTCCTTAATCAAACACACCTGATTCAGGTCATCGGCTCATTAGTAGAGACTCCAAGACCTGAGATTGGTGTGTCAGAGAAAGTAGACATGCAAAATGTGCAGTGTTGGGGTGCCTCAAGGACCAGGGTTGGGAACCACTGGGTTATACCATTGAATTTTTTATGAACTTTTATTATGACAAACACCCAGTTTTGACGCTTCCGGTCTGTCTCACCGCTTCACAGTATTGGGGGCTTTTATCAGATTCCAGGTTTGTCAGACATTCGTCTTTAAATGATGTTATTTGAACAGTTCAGTTTCTAGATTTGACATAAGATGATGTATGAACGGTAGGGCTGGTTCCGTTTCGTTTGAAAGTTGTCACTGATTCGCGTTGATAATCAAGCGGCTATCAGAAGCGCTAACTAGCCTCAAGCTACATTGTTGTGAAATGAATCGCTGCTTTATTTACTTTCAAACGTGCTTTGCCCGAAACGGAAATAATTCGATTTTTGAGTCGTGTTGAAGAGGAAAAGGAAGCAGTATTTCCGCGCAGAGTCAGATTTGAGGAAACTCCTCTGCTGTGTGTAGCTAAATCAAACACCACAGTAATCCCATCAGTTCAAGATACACTAAAGTCATGTGTTGTTTTTTTTTAAGTACCATCTAAACGCCATGGTATCTGAAAATAGTCGTTTTAGTATATCTCGAAGTCCAGACGCCTTCACTGTATCACCACAGAAGTGGTGTTTGTTTACATGCATCACAAACCTTATAATCATGTGCGTTACTACGAGTCCTTCTTTCTGAATAGCCTTACACTCGAAGAGCTTACCAGTCAAGAGATAAAAACATGAACTTTACATTACTATGTGTTTATTTCTGTTGTTTTGTGATCTAGAGCTCCTGCTGTTTCTATGCTCCCTGGGTCCCTTCACAGCACCAATGGCTGATAATGTGGACAATGCTGTCAATAATGTGGTATGTATTAATCCTGTCAGATCGTCCATCCTTTGAGAGAGAGTGTAACGTTACAGGTCGGCCGATCTGGTTTCGTGGTTAAAGTTAACCTTTTCGACATGTTTCCATGTTGTTGTTGTTGTTGCTCAGCAATGGCATGGACGCGATGTTGTCTGGGGGTGTGGCTAAAGGAGAGCGGGACGGTGGGCGGTGCTCGGACTGAAGGCGGTGACTGTGTAGTTCTGACGTCACCTTTTTACGGAAGTCACAACGGTTCGTGAAAAATAGCTAGGACTTTAAGCAGGCTGTGTGCATTTTACTGTTGTTTTGAAACTTATATGGTAGTTAAATAGCCCCTAGACCTCAGTTATCATGAAAAAAGCCAGGAAATTTCAGTTTTGACAATATGGGACCTTTAATAGTTATTTGGTGAATTTTGATCTTCTTGTTCCTTTGTGGTGGAGTGTTATTTCTAGTGCTCGGTCAGTAGTGAGGATGGTGGTTGTGTAAGAGCGAGGCAGGGCCGCACCCATGAGAGCTATTCATCAGTGTTTGTAGCTGCAGGCTTATCGCAAGCGTTCTGGCAGCGATCACAGCTGGAAAGCTCTGGCACTCGCTCACTGCTTTCATTTCCTCGTCACATGGATGATGGGACGGCGCAGTACTTTGACACTTGGGTTTGCTCTTGTGCATTGCTGTTCGTTCAATTTCTTTTCCTTATTGTACAGATAACATTGTTAGTTTGCTTGGTGTTAAATTCTTTTTCCACAGGTTCATGGCCATAAATATTCCAAATATTTTTTGTAGGCACTTGCTAGCAGGAAAACCATTCAGATATTTGTTGATAATACTTAAAGACTTCATGAAGTATTTATTTGCAGGCATCTGTTTACACTTAAACATTCTTTTTTTGGACTTAATCATGCTGTAGATTCTGATTGAAAGTGTTCAGATTTTTTTTTATAGCCGTGTTCTTTTGCCCTTTAATCAGTTGGGAGCATCTATGTACTTTACACATTTTTACAGTGTATTGTTTTATTGTATTTAAATATGCAGGCCAACAGTTTAAGTTTACGTTGTATACAGTTCTAAGAGTTCCAGTAATTATCATGATATGAGAATTTGTTGCATGTATTGTTCCTATGTAAAGACGGTTATAATGTTACAAGAGATTTCTATTTCAAATAAACGCTGTTCTTTTGAACTTTCTATTCATCTGTGAATCCTGAAAAATAAACTGTATCGTGGTTTAAAAAATATATTGGGCAGCAAAACTGTTTTTTACATTGATAATAATCAGAAATGTGTCTTGAGCAGCAAATCAGCATATTAGAATGATTTCTGAAGATCATGTGACACTGAAGACTGGAGTAATGATGCTGGAAATACAGCTTTGTCACCAGGAATAAATTACATTTTACAATATATTCACATAGAAAACAGTTACTTTAAATTGTAATAATATTACACAATTTTTGATCAAATAAATGGAGCCTTGGTGAGCAGAAGAGACTTACTGACCCCAAACTTTTAAACAGCAGTAAATCACACACTGATTTTCTCTCTGCAGTCAAATGACGGGACGGAGGTCAGCCGGCACACTGAGACGACTCCCGGCCGCAACGAGGTGGAGCTGAACGGACAGCCGCCCACCGCACAACCCCCGCAGGTGCTCACAGACAGCGAGGAGGACGAGGACGAGGAGCTGACTCTCAAATATGGAGCCAAGCATGTGATCATGCTGTTTATTCCCGTCACGCTGTGTATGGTGGTGGTTGTGGCCACGATCAAATCGGTCAGTTTCTACACACAAAAGGACGGTCAGCAGCTGTGAGTATCAATCCGATTTAAAATAACCGTTTCATTGGAGTTGGGCTTCAGTTCTAGCCTTCAGGGCTGCTTGACAGAATTAGTTTGTTCATGCCTAGAACCAGAAAATACTAAACATTAATCAGCATCACGTCCTGACTTGATCACGGATGTGTTTGTTCAGGAGAAAGGCCAAATTCTTCCTTGGAAGAAATATCACAGTTCAGCTCTCAATCACCTGGAACTATCAGGGTCACTCTGAATATCAAAGCATCTCTATTACATTATAGTCATATTACCGTATTGGCCCGAATATAAGACGACCCTGATTATAAGTCGACCCCCTTTTTTCCAGATGTACCTTTTGGAAAAAGGCTTTTTAAAAACAAATCTTGTTTTTTTTTTCTCAGTAAAACACATTTTGTCTTCAATTATTATCATATTGCATATTTTTCCTATTTTAATTTTTGTTTTGAAAGTATGGTAAAAACTGGTCAAATGTACCAACAATCACATTTAAAAAATATGCACTTTTTGATATACCATAAAAAAAAAACAGGTAGCCCATCTGAATTAGGACATTTAGGCTATCCATCTAATAGTAGCCTACCACAATCTTATTAACAGTAGAAGTTAAATCTTACTGTAGTCTTCAAATCTGGGTACAGTCTTACGTTTTAAAATCACAAAGAGAGTTTGGTGCCATCAGGCTAACGTGACAGTCACGACTCATGCAGCTGTAAGCTTTTCTTTTTCTTTAGTTTTTACTCGCGATCTTTACAACACGCATTACATTACGTATTTCATGACACACTCGTTTTATGCATATTTGGTGCCACCTGTTGTTGTGGGTGTATTATTGACATGTCAAAGTCTAGACCCTGAATATAAGACGAAATATAAAAGAATATTTTTTCAGATGTATTTCCAAGCAAAAAACATTGTCTTATATTCGGGTCAATAGTCAGGGTTCTTATGGTAAAACTAAAACCATGTAAAGAAAAATATATATATTTTACTGTACATATAGGGATGTCAACGATTAATCGGCGATCGATTAATTGTCGATAAGAGATGCAATCGATAGTCAATTAAGCCATTTAATTTTGGGGATGCGTGCGGCTCATGCGCAAAACACATGCATCTTCTGTGATAATAATTTACTAACCTACAAATTACGCTTCTAATGTGATCCAAACTTTAAAAGTACATTAAAACAGAAACAATATAAATGTATTTTGTATTGAAATGTAGTAACCAAGTCATGTTTAATTAGATAAATGTTTCATATCGGGCTCTGCGCTTTGACAGGTCTGCGGACATGAGCAGGACAGAGATAGATATATATATATATATAATTCATTCCTACAACTTGTTAATTCGTTCCTATGACTTGTGGCCACTGTCCATGTTTCATTTATTTGTTCCCTAGAAAACCCATGATTTAACTAAAACGAGGGAACGAATTGGTCATAGGAACGAATTCATGGCCACAAAATCTTTCATTTCCCCGTATGTTTCCATAGTAAGAGATGCGAAAAAAGTGATTAAAAGTGAACGACAGTAAAATAAACCTGCAAAATTAGAGGGTGAGACGGTGATGATTTGGGAAAAGAAACCATAAATATCATTAAAGTCGTGGAAATTCGTGACCAACGGGCAAAACAGATTAGAAAGCAGCGTATGGCTTTAAATGTATCAAACAGCATGAATGCAAAAGCATGGTCACGATGTAACATTTGCCTGCTAACCCATTATTTCTCTTCTAAACAAAGCTTTGTACCTCACTTGTGTCATAATACTATCATTAAAATGTTTCTTGTGAGCAACAGTGTGTTGAAGAGGTGCACAGCCCCACGTGCTGCAGTTACGTTCAGGATCATTTTATTTTAAATGCCGATAATGTCAATTGCAAACATTGCGATTGTGTTTTAAAATACAACAATGAGCACCATGAAACCATTTAAAGAGGTGTGTTCAGTGGTCTCCGTGATGGGATATGAAACAGTCAACACGGTAAAATGATCCCAAAAGTAACTACGGCGCGCTCTCTTCATTTTATCAAATGATCATAATCACATCTATTCATTTTACAGTCCTGCTACTAGCCTTTATTTAGACTAAAACCCCTTTAATTTGGGTGAGGAAGCTGGCTTTTTGAGTGGCATTTGCACATCCGGTCATGCCGGTGAATGCCACTCCAATAGATTCATTTTGCAGTATTAAAGTTAACGATTAATCAATTAATTGATCGTTAATTTAAACGATGATCGGTTGTGGAAATTATCGAAATTTGACATCCATTACATAACATTAACTGAAATAAAATATAACAAATTGTAGCATTATTTCTCGTTTTCAATTAGTTTACCTTTAAGTACTAAAATAACTAAACTAATAAATAAAAGCAAATAAAAATACTTAAATTAATAAATATAAATTAATAAAAGCATACAAACAATAATGTGCAGTATTTGAAAAATAATGTGTTTTTTGAACATTAAAGCATGTCAACATATTCTGTTACACCAAATACACAAAATAATGATCTTTAAAAAAGCATCATATGACCCCTTTAACATTTTATTTGTGGATTTAACATTAATAGATGGTCTAAAGCAAACGAGCTCTAAAAATCTTTTAGAGCTCCTTCTATTTAATATTATATATTTAATTTTATTACAAATCGGCCAACAGCGCCCCCAATGTAATTAAAACTGCTGCTACTACACGTGCTAGAAACTGTTGACTCTCTCGCGCACTGGACGCGTCGTTCTGTGTGCATTCTAAATTCAGCGATCCGAAACGTTTGCAAAAGTTCGCTTCAGGGTTTTGACCACACTGCTGACTTGATCTTATCACGATCACACCCTGAGCACATGTGAGCTATCCCCGTCTTATCGGCAAGGCATGTCGGCATATTTACATTTTAAGCCTTTATCGGCCGATTCCGATAACGTTCCGATAATATCGTGCATCCATAATCAGATGTAAGGCTTTGGCCTGGCTGATGATAAACACCAGAACACCATAGAGACTCCGGTGGGCAAACACCCTAATAACCACAATGCTCTAAAAAGCACTCTGAACATATTAGCAACATCCTGCCAATTACACACAGCTAACTACCTTCATGATGCTAGAAAACACCACTCTGTACCTGTTTCTAAAGAACATAATTTCATCAGAAAACACAGGTTTGAAGCTCTGAAATGTCTGAGACGATCGAAGTGATCCGTGCATCAGGAATACACGAGTAAGGAATGGATTGAACTGCAGCTGGTCAGTGTGCAGTGATGCAGTGGCAGTGACTTTCCTCCAGACAGTGCTAAAGCTTCACTGACCCCTCATTACTGGATAAACTGTTGCTTTGTCCTCTTACATGCTGTTTGCACATGTGGTTCCCTCTTGACTGTCACGTTTTACTCTGATAACATCATCATTTTCACATCAGTTTATTTAATTTAAATGACTCCGGTGGGCAAACACCCTAATAACCACAATGCTCTAAAAAGCACTCTGAACATATTAGCAACATCCTGCCAATTACACACAGCTAACTACCTTCATGATGCTAGAAAACACCACTCTGTACCTGTTTCTAAAGAACATAATTTCATCAGAAAACACAGGTTTGAAGCTCTGAAATGTCTGAGACGATCGAAGTGATCCGTGCATCAGGAATACACGAGTAAGGAATGGATTGAACTGCAGCTGGTCAGTGTGCAGTGATGCAGTGGCAGTGACTTTCCTCCAGACAGTGCTAAAGCTTCACTGACCCCTCATTACTGGATAAACTGTTGCTTTGTCCTCTTACATGCTGTTTGCACATGTGGTTCCCTCTTGACTGTCACGTTTTACTCTGATAACATCATCATTTTCACATCAGTTTTTATTTAATTTAAATAGGTAACTAAATATTCTAATTTAGAACTATTATCAGTAGTGATTTTCGATAGATGAAATAGAAGTAAATGTATACTCTAAGATGAATAAGTAATATGCTATTATGTTAGCATTATAGTAATGAGAATGAGTTCTGTGTTTTGTTTTTTCCCTCATTTCAGTAAAAATATACTAGTCGACATTTGAAGTGGATCAAACCCTTTCATCAAAGTTGTCCTAAAAGCTAAAACCAAAAAAGCGTTCCTAGGACAACTTTGAACTTTTTTGATCCACATAAATATTGACCACTGTAGTTGTGGTGTGAAATTTGCTAATCATGAACGGGTTATTATTGTGAACGAAACCATTTTCAAAACATTAACTGAAATAAAATAATTCTGGCAACATTTCTCACTTTCGTGTAGTAAAAGTTGAAGTGCTCAAATAACTAAAATAAAAACTTATAATAATAAATAAACAAATAAAATTACAAAAACACGATACAACAAAATTACTAAAACGTTAACTAAAAATGAAAATATTAATTAAATCTAAATCAAAATATGAACAAAAACTGTAATAGTAATGATACTAAAATAGCACAAAATATAATTTAATTAAATATGACCATGTATAATTTTAAATGTTTTGTAAGTGTTACCAGATTGTTAAAAGTTTGTTCATGTTCATTTTAATTTTCTGTGTTTGAATTGTAGGTTTTCATGTTGAACCCACTGTATATATAATTTTTAATTTAGTGAACTATAACAATAACCCTCAGTTCGTGTTGATGTATTTCGGGTAGAGACGGGTATTTGCGTTTGATTTGGAGTTTTAAATGGTGTTATTGAAGAATAATCAAGAAGTAAAATGCAGTATAAACACCGTTAACAATAATCCAGATTTATCTGGTGATCGTGCCTGATGTTGATGTTATGAAAGCATTGCTGCTGATGACAGCTGCATGTGTGTTTCTTCACCGCAGGGAAGTGTTCAAGACGTACAACGTGGCCATGGACTACTTCACGCTGGCCGTGATCATCTGGAACTTCGGTGTGGTGGGAATGGTCTGTATCCACTGGAAGGGTCCGCTGCGGCTCCAGCAGGCCTATCTGATCATGATCAGCGCTCTCATGGCCCTGGTCTTCATCAAGTACCTGCCGGAGTGGACCGCCTGGCTCATCCTCGCTGCTATATCTGTCTACGGTCAGTCACTGAAGATGGCTTTATTAGGTTCATCTGGGTTGTTTATGGAGATGCTGTAAATCTGCCGTAAAGTAGGATAGGACTACAAATGGTCTCAAGGCTAAACTCCTAATAATTAACGCTTCTGTAGATCTGTTGGCCGTGTTGTGCCCGAAAGGACCTCTGCGTATCCTGGTGGAAACGGCTCAAGAGAGGAATGAACCCATCTTCCCTGCTCTCATCTACTCCTGTAAGAAAAGCCTCGCAGCACTGCTGTCTTCTCAGCCTGTGGAGCATTGAATTCAGGGTTTTAGTTGAAGGTTTGGTTGTTATCGTCACATTTACATGTTCGCCCATTTGATTCGTCAGCAACCATGGTGTGGCTGTTTAATATGGCGGACAGCGCTGAGACCGGGAATAATTCCAGCCATCCAGTTCCTCAGCAGGAGAACCAGGGTGAGTGAGTGCAAGAGCTCCGGAATCACACTGCATGGAATAATGTGCATCTTCACAGGCACTTTACTGAAGAAATATTCATTTCAGATCTACGTCTAAAAAACGCTTTATTGGAGAGATAAAACATTGACCAATAATATCTACGCTACCTTTCAAAAGTTTCATGTTTTTCAAGTCTCTTCTGGTCACTAATGCTGCATTTATTTGATTGAAAATACATTAAAAACAGTAAAAAGGCGATATGTTATTTTAATTTAACATAACTGTTTTCTGTGTGAATATATTGTAAAATGTGATTTATTCCTGTGATTCGCAGGATCCTTCAGAGATCATTCTAATATGCTGATTTGCTGCTCAAGAAACATTTCCGATTATTATCAACCAATTATCAATTATTTGCCGCTTGTTTTTTTTTGTTTGTTTTTTTATTATCAGTGTCGATCAATACGTTTTTCTGTTTGGTTGATGTGTTTGATTGATGAGATGTGTCGGAAACAAAACCTTTATTTTGAAATGACTTTTATTTTAATAATAATGAATTATTAGACAAAACTATTAAAGATAATAAGTGGTATATAAAAAAAGTATTATAGCGTTTGCTTTTCTATTATTAGTTATAGAACGGTATGTGCTATGATACCTTTTACTCTATCATAAGCAAATATGCATTTATATAATTTGATTTCATAAACCTTGCAAACTTTGTAAAAAAAAAAAATCTATCTGAGAGCTTCTGAAGTGTGCACATGTAGCCTTTTGCATTTATAGTTGAGATTTATTTGTGAAAAATATTATGAGATTTCATAAAGTTGCTGTCTAAGGTATAAATCTTTTTTTTTTTCATATTCATTTTCAATTCAGTAATTTCAGTAGTTGTTATGCATGTGTTTTTGCTATCATCTTTGTCATCGGGCATAAAAAAAACAGTATCGCTAGTTATTCCTACTTCCTACTGTAAATGCGGATCATGTGAGCAGCACTGACTGCATCTGATCGGTATTTGCCTCTTTGTGTTGCTGCTCATTTGTTAAACTCAGCTTTTCTCAGACGGCTGTAAATCACTGTCACTGTGAGCGTTCCTCATTGAGTCCGTCTCCTGTAGTTGCCATGGCACCCACGGCTCAGCCGGAGGATGATGGCGGTTTCACACCAGCGTGGGTCAATCAGCAGCAGCATCAGCTCGGCCCCATGCAGTCCACTGAGGACAGCAGACGAGAGATCCAAGAGTTGCCCTCCGCACGCCCGGCACCTGTGGAAGACGACGAAGAGCGTGAGTATCTGCAGTAACTCATCCGGTTCTGTCCTCCATTCCAATGAGCAGCACCCCTAAATTCCTCCATGTCTCTGAAGTCCGTGTCACATGATCAGACCTCATGTGTTCCGTTCAAAATACATGTGGCAATGGGGTCCGAATAGTTTCACGCAAACCACATGTGGATGTAGTGCCATGGAATAAGCCACGATGGTCAACTAGTATTATAAATACTTTTTTTCATTATAAATAATGAAAAAATAAAGTGTTTAAATTATATGTGACCTTGGAGCACAAAACCAGTCTTAAGTCGCTGGGGTATATTTGTAGCAATAGCCAACAATACATTGTATGAGTCAAAATTATAAATTTTTCTTTTATGCCAAAAATAGGATATTAAGTAAAGATCATGTTCCATGAAGATATTTAGTAAATTTCCTAAATGTGACCATATTTCCATTAATACATCAACTTAATTATTGATTAGTAATATGCATTACTAAGAACTTCATTTGGACAACTTTAAAGGTGATTTTCTCTATGTAAAAAAAAAAAAAAATTTTTTTTTGCACCCTCAGATTTTATGCCAAAAATCATTAGGATATTAAGTAAAGATCATGTTCCATGAAGATATTTAGTAAATTTCCTAAATGTGACCATATTTCCATTAATACATCAACTTAATTATTGATTAGTAATATGCATTACTAAGAACTTCATTTGGACAACTTTAAAGGTGATTTTCTTTGCACCCTCAGATTCCTATCCTAACAAACCATACATCAATGGAAAGCTCATTTATTCCGCTTTCAGATGATGTATAAATCTCATTTTCAAAAAAATTGACCCTTATGACTGGTTTTGTGGTCCAGGGTCACACATCGGCTATAAAATATGGTTGCTGTTTAATGGTTGCAAACAAAAGCCTCACTTCCTGTTGTAGCCCCATTGAGCAGGATTTTGTGCACGTGCTGATGTTTGTGTGCGTGTTTCAGGGGGTGTGAAGCTGGGTTTGGGAGATTTCATCTTTTACAGTATGCTGGTGGGTAAAGCATCAGCTACAGCCAGCGGTGACTGGAACACGACGATAGCCTGCTTTGTGGCCATTCTCATCGTAAGTACCCCAAAGAAATAAATACAACTCGCTAAATCAGGCATAATTCAGGTATTGTTCTCCACACATGTATAAAGGCCCCAAAAAGTGTTAGGATACTTGAGGCAAGACACTACAGGCAAATCCATTGTTTTCTCACGCACTATTTTCAGTCTAATGGAAAGAACACATCCAAAATACACATTTAAGTGTTTATTACACTTCACCTATTTGCATCTGTAGATTTCAATTCAGATACAAATATATAAAAGAAAAGTTTTTTCCTGAAACCATTTATTCTTAAAATATTCAGAAAAAAGCATTTCCTTGTTGTTGACAGTATTTTTTAAAGATTTATGGAGTGATTAAAAGATCCTTTCAAAGTCCCCTCTGGTAAAAACCTCTAATATGTCAACAAAATGAAACCGAAAAACAAAACCTGGCTTCATCCGATGTCCAGGTTTCAGTTCTGGAAATGTATCCAAGTTAGTGCATATTTAGTTAGATGTCTCATTTGGATATTTAAACATAACATTACAGAACTGTTGTCTGAATGGACTGTAATGTATTTACTGGGGAAGGTATGGTCATATGGATTAGTTAACATTTTTACACATTTCACGTATTGTGTCTGGCTTAAAGCCACCATGAACCCATTTAAATGTGAAACAGGATGTTCAGTGAGCGAAACGACTTGCTCTTATACATCAGAATGGATTGGATTGTGTGAAGTGGTGACGTCATCTGAAAAGTAAAGTAATTTCATAAGTGGAGCTGCTTATTATATTTTGATGAAAGATTGAGCACAAACATTTTGCAGTAATGTGCACAGATGAATCGTTCCCAATTAGATGTCTATCTAAGCAAGTGTCATCTCCAAACAATTCATCTCGATACAAAATGACCTGTTCACTCTTATTACGTGTTTTGTCAGCATTCACAATAGTCTGATATTTCTTTCTCCTTAGGGTTTATGTCTAACTCTGCTCCTTCTGGCCATCTTCAAAAAGGCCCTTCCAGCTCTCCCCATCTCCATAGCCTTCGGCCTGGTCTTTTACTTTGCTACCGATAACCTTGTGCGTCCGTTCATGGATCAGCTGGCTGTTCATCAGTTCTACATTTAGCACGGAGGAGAGGTCACTCGTCACGCACTCCACTTTACAGCTAATTCCCAGAATCCTCTTGCAGGGAATGTGAACCCTGTAGACTAGCACACCTTTCCTCTTCCTCTGGACACGTGACTGGATTGGCTGGTTTTGCCATTGAATGGCTCCATTAATTACAGTGCCTCTCCAGTGACTCATCTGATCCTGATATTGGCTTTGGCAACATCTTCGGGCGATATGCCGAACATTTGTTTGTTTGGAGAAAACACAGACCATCTTACATGTAAAAATGGATGAAAGTGATTGGCTTTATCACTTCATTCAAAGTTTGATGAACTCTGGTGTATGGACTGGGACCAGAGCTTGCTTTTTCCACCAGATCTTGGATTCACTTTCAAGGCATTACATTAATTCCAGCTCTGATATAGTGAGCATTAACCCAAAGCTCTTTGAATGATATGGCTGCACGCACAGAGGTAGGTACTGATCACTTTTGTTGGTCTTCTGAGAGTGCCTGTGATGCTTCGAGTTTTAATTTTTAACACCAACCATTTGACCATATTTGAGACGTTGTTCTGGGCTACTCTAGCATTAAATCAAGTGCTGATCCAAGCTACTGTTTTGCTCTCCTGAAAATCGTGAGAGCGTCATTTTGGAATGTATAAACCTTCTCTTTAATTTCTTATGTGTTTGGACAAGATGTCAGGAGTTTGTTTGTTAATTAATTTTGTTGTTGTTTTGTTTCGTTTCTCTTTTTTTTTTTTTTTTTTACCAGCACAATGGTTGATTGAATGACTTTTACTTTCATAGTATCCATGCCTTTTGTCATTTCAAGAAAATGCAAATTTTTTGTAACTAAATTGAAGGATTCACAAATAAAGGGGTTGCTCATTTGAGCAAATGTCAGTCTCCATCAAATCATTTTCAGTTAAAATTTTTTTTTTTTTTTCAGCCTTGAGTACACCCGGTATTCACAATCATCTCATTGATATGATCACAAGAAGTTGCTCTTATCATGTAAATGGGGTCCAAACTGTTTTATGATCAGGGTTGCCAGATCTGTGTAACAAAACCAGAAATTAAGAATGGCAAATAAGTTAACCTTCAGGTGGACTGGCCAACACTGAGGACATTAGGGAACAGTCAAGTCACATTACTTTGGGGTTCATTGTCTTGACCTATTGTTCCGTCTTGCTAATGTTAAAGGCCTGAAAATGGTGGGAACATTTCAGAAATTCCACAGTATTGCAGGACTGTCGCCCCTCTTCCAAGTCCCTGACCCTTTGGAATTGGCATGTTGCCTGAATCTCTAGAGGGTAGTAGCAGTTTCCATGGGGCCAGCTTGGCACGGCATGCTGGGATGGCCATGGTTCTCTTTTGTGATTGTACCTTGGTGATTAGCATCAAGCTGAGCCTTCACATTCCACCTCAGCGTCTCACCTGAAGTCTGCAATGATCTTATGTCACAGGTGAAATCAACACATTTCCACAAAATCACAACAGGCACTGGCACGTCACTAATACTATTGCTCAAGCAATTTTTAAAGCTCTAGGCTTTTAAACTTGGCACGTTAAAAAAATAACTTAAAGATTTGCATTGAATGAAGGACCAAGGACAGGGCTCTTCAACTCCGGGCCTGGAGGGCCAGTGTCATGCAGACTTTAGTACCAATCCCAGTTGACCCACCTGTCTGTAATTTCCAAGTAGTTCTCAACACTTTGGCTGTGGTTGGATTTAACCAATCTGTGGGATTTGCCAACTGGGGGGTGGAGTTGAAACGATTACTTGCATTTGGACACTTTCTGCTTCCTGTAGTTACGCTTATGTTGCATACTTTATCACAGATGAAATGGATTAGATTCAATATTTGTCAAATAAACACACATTTCAGACATTCTCATGTAGCAACAGGAACAGTTTTTCTACAGTTCTTCATATACTGCTTAATCCAGAACCTGTGTACAAGAATAAAGACAAGCCTATACAAATAAAGTAGTTTCTATATTTTTAACCAGTTTTTTGATAAACATGTAATATTATAGCCAGTGTTGTGCAAGTTACTTCCAAACTGTAATACATTATAGATTACTTGTTACTGTTATTTAAAAGTAATTGCTTACCTTACAATATTACTGTCTCAGAATTGTAATGCGTTACATGACTCCTGTATTACTTTTGAGTTACTTTCACCAAAATAACTACAGAAGTAGAACTTAAGGTAACACTTTATTTTAGGGTCTCTTAACTAGTTGCTTATTGGCATGCATATTACTAGAATATTAGCCATTTATTAGTAGTAATTAAGCACACGTTAATGCCTTATTCTACATGACCTTATTCTACATCCCTAATCCTACTCAATACCTAAACTTAACAACTACCTTACTAACTATTAATAAGCAGCAAATTAGGAATTTGAGGTAAAATTCGTAGTTAATAGTGAATAAGTGTTCCCTATTCTAAAGTGTTACCATACTTAACATTCTAAAATGACAATGTACTGCAGAGCATTTTACATCCAGTAGAGGGTGATATGGTGTAGCATAATGACTGGGCTATCTAGGCTACTATAATTGGCAAAGTGCAGGCTCAAGACAATGCAAGAAAGGATGACAGCCAGAATCACAAACGATCCAAGTCTGTTAAAAGTATGGTAGAGCTAAAGTGATTATCTGGCAATATCTGTGAATAGTTTGGGTCTATTCATATTAGACACAACAGGACTTTATGTAAACTCTAATGCCAGGACTATATGTAAACTCTCATGACAAGATGCGCATACGTCCATCTCGCGCATGTACAGTCTTCTGCCATCTTCACCCATTAGCCGCTTTTCCACTGGCCAGTGCGAGCCGGGGCTTACAGCGAGCCAGGTGGGGCTAATAGCCTCGGACCTCGAGCAAAGAGGCCGAAATAATGCCGCGTTTCCACTGTCGGGCCAGTAGCCTCAAGGCACTCCTGTAAAACCTGCCCTAAACACGCCTTCACTGGACTACGTCATACAATACAAAGTTCCACCAGCGAGTGGGAAATGAATTAAATAAAATTTAAAATTTCTAACCGGCATACACTTCTTCAAAGCAGATGCCAGTCGGTCTGCGCAGTGTCAAATGAAGTCAAACACAGCTCCATATTAGCTTGTTCCAGTACGTGTTAGAGCTAAGCTTAATTGGGTTGGAGTTGAAGAGCCCTGACCTAAGTCATGTATCAGGGGTGGCCAACATCGTTCCTGGAGAGCCACAGTCCTGCATAGTTTTGCTCCAACCTTCATAAAAACTAACCTGCCTGTCACATTCTAGTAGCCCTTTTGCTGCGTTCCATTTACCTCGGAAGGTGGATATCGGAGCTGGGAATGACTAGAGAAGTCAGAAAACCGAGATGGACGCTTCCATTGTTAGCAATACCAGTCGATTAAAAACACATAAAAAGTGGTATTTTGCACAGATAACGCCAAAGTATCATGTCCACAAATAGAGGTTGGATAGTACTGTGTGCACCACTTATTGAGTTTGAGAGACAGACAAACATGAGAGCTAATAAACAATGTTAACACTGTTTCTCTTCTTTTGATGCACTGAACAGCCTAATTGGATTCTGAAGTTTGAGCGATTTCTCAGAGACTCCGAGTCGGAACTCCAGCTTGGGAGTGCGTTCCACTTAGGCCCTGTTTACACTGCGTTTTAGTTTTAAAACCGCGTTTTAAAAGGGGTTTTCACTGTGTTTCAGAAACGATCTCAGTCCACACTTCACAACAGAAAATGCATGTCACGTAACCATTCATGCAGGTGATATATATACATAGATATATAGGTAGATGCCCTATTATTTAGATGGTGGACGCATCTACATGCTTAGAGCAGTCAAATGGGGCATCTACCTATACATATCTATGGGTACAACAATAAGCATTATGTTATTGTTTACACGGTCATCAAGGATAGGCAGAGCGAATGTGGGCAGCCACGCCATCGTTTTCAAAAGTCTCCGTTTTGCTCTGTTTACACTGAAATGCAACCCCTGAGTATTCAAACTAAAACGGGTTCTGTAGCATTTCCAAAAGTCTGTTTTCGAGGGTCGAAAATGGCGGAGTAGTGTAAATGACAGGCGTAACCGTAGAAAAAGTTATGCGTTTTAAAACTAAAACACAAGTGTAAACATAGCTTTCAAAGTTCCTACTGGGAACTCTGAATTTCCAGCTTCCAAGTTCAAATGGAACACAGCATTAGACCTTGATTAGCTTGTTTAGGTGTGTTTGATTAGGTTTGGAGCTGTGGCTCTCTAGGGCCGATGTTGGCCACCACTGCAATATATGTTCCTATAGGTTTCTAGAGCAGTGGTTTTCAATCCTGTTCCTTGGGACCCACAGCTCTGCACATTTTGCATGTCTCCCTTATCTGACACACTCATTTGAGTTCATGGAGCTCTTTCCTAATGAGCTGATGATCTGAATCAGGTGTGTAAATTAGGGAGACATGCAAAATGTTCAGAGCTGTGGGTCCCCAGGAACAAGTTTGAAAACCACTGCTTTAGAGGTCCTATAGGTGTCCAATCCTGCTCCTAAAAGGGCACTTTCTTGCAGAGTTTAGCTCCAGCTCACCTTTATGGAAACTGAAGTCCTTGATTAGGTGTTTCAGTTGTGTTTAATTGGGGCAGGGGCCAAATTCTCCTGGAGTGCAGAGCTGTGGGTCCCCAGGAACAAGTTTGAAAACCACTGCTTTAGAGGTCCTATAGGTGTCCAATCCTGCTCCTAAAAGGGCACTTTCTTGCAGAGTTTAGCTCCAGCTCACCTTTGTGGAAACTGAAGTCCTTGATTAGGTGTTTCAGTTGTGTTTAATTGGGGCAGGGGCCAAATTCTCCTGGAAGGGTGAGTAGTAGTTACGATTCACGGAATGTCATTATTTTGGATTGATGACTTTGACAGTGTTTCAGTTGTGTTTAATTGGGGCAGGGGCCAAATTCTCCTGGAAGGGTGATCCTTAAGGAGTGGGATTGGACACCCCTGCTATAGGTCAAACAGTAGAGCAGGGTTGGGAAACTTCAGTCCTGGAGGACTGCTGTTCTACAGAGTTTGGTTTCATCCCTAATCAAACACACCTGCCTGGAATTTTTAAGCAATCTTGAAGACTTGAAGACAAAGCTAAACTGTGCAAGAGTGGACCTCCAGAATCAGCATTGCACATCCCTGCAGTAGAGCACAATTGTAGTAGCGATAAAGTTCTGGGCTTGATTCCCAAAAAGATGTACGGTATGCCTTGAATGCAGTGTTAAATGTTGCAGGCAAATGAAATGGAAAGAAATTAAATGAGAGGGCAAAACATCACAGAGATTGGGGATGGACTCTTTTGAGTTCGGTTAGTAAATAACCACCCAGAATACCTTGTCAAGTTGGGTTCAATTCGGTTTGGTCTTTAAAACTGATTTGTGGCAGTGTGAGGAAGCAGAGCTAAATTTGTTCACTCCTTTTCCTGATAGCCTATTTTCCCCAGGTCCATTCAATTCCCGGTACGGTATTAAGCTGGTTTACTTGAGGCCATACAAGGCTGTAAGACACGCTAATCTCTGGAGGTGAGTCTTGAGCATCTAGACCACCGAGACTACAGGAGATGTGGCTAAGGATAGCTCCTCTAAGGGGATTACTAGAAGTGTGAGGGAGTGTCCTATGACACGCAAGACAAGCCAGCGCTCAAGGATTCGGCCATTAGTACTTAGTTGAGTCACACCACAGGCACCAAGGACACAGCCACTCTCTTATCTGCCACTCTCTGCAACCCAGTTCTACAACTTCCACTAGATACCATGTCGAAGGAAAAACTGGAAGGCCTGGTGAAGCGCATGGAGTTGACCCTCGTGGAGATGGAGCAGCTGAAGCTGCACTGTGGCCGGCAGAGCGAGGAG